ATAATATTGTTGTTTTGAGGCCATTTTCCAGTAATATAATACTAAACACATTCTGAAATATCAACTTTTAATTCTGATGAACATTAAACACTGGAAGACATTTTAAATCTCCAAAATAACCAAAACAACAGAAACAATAAATATAATGAATTATGAAATCAATGTAAACAAAATTTCCCTTAAAAAAATGTTTAGTTGAGAGCAAAAAAAAAAAAAAAAACTTTTATCATCCAATTGTTGGTAGAAATTTACCCCTCCCTAATAGGAGCTGTTTTTTGTGTACTTATTCTAATTTATTTGGGTAAATGTATTGTTTGGGGAATGTAACTTGATTTGTTTGCTTGTTTTAATCATCTTTAATCATCATCACCGGGTCATGTGTTGCCATGGAAACGCGCCCATGAGCAGTGCTGTCAAGGACCTGGTGTTTTCAATCAGCCTCATTGGGAAAATCCACTGTCAGAGGGAGGAGAGATGTATTTTTGAGTTTGTTTGGATCCAGATTGTTTTTGTTTCTAGTTTTGTTTGAGTTAATTGTAACTGTGTCGACATTTTTTTATAGGAATAATTTAGTACAAATGTTCTTTATTTCTGAAAATGTGAAAGTCTCCACCCCTCTAATTAGTCCTGGTGGGAGCCAATTCCTTAAAAGCCAGGTGGTTCAGATGAGAGGGAGGTTCTCCCTCCTCCTGTTGGACTGACATGTTGTAAACTGAAGTGTGTGAAGCTGGAGATAAAGGAAGAAATATTGAAAGCTCTAAAACTGCTGGTTCCAGTCGGGTTTCTTTTTGATCGCAAACTAACATACAGAAACATTGTTTCTATTGGGTTCATTTTAATTTATACGTGATCAATTTGTTGCTTATTGCTAAATTTCTACAACTGAGCCACTGGTTGCTATGGTGATTCCCTCCTCTTAGGGAGCAGGAGGGAGAGCCGGCCCGCAGCATCACTCCTTTAATCAGACAGGGACGGACTGCTTCCGTCCCTGTCTGATTATTGCTTTATTTATATTTACAGACATTTTTTTCTGGGTGTTTTTGAAGATAATTTCTGCCACAACAGAAAATTTGATGAAATTGTTTAACTTTGAAGCTGTTGAGTTTTTCACTCATTTCATCAAAATCATATTTTACATTATGAATATTTCATAAACGCTGTTTGATGCATTTAATGCAAAAGTCAGGCGATTCTGACGGAGCTGCCTTCTCCGTACCGATGTCGTAGACGTTCCTGGCGGGCGGAACGCCGCCGCCGCTGATGATGGCGGCGGAGCAGCAGCGCGTCGCGTGCTCATGATGCACCGGCGACTTCATCTCCACGTAGCTGCTCTCGGCGTGCTTGCAGAGCGCCGGCTGGTCGTTGATGGTGGCGTACGGATTCTCGCTGTTCAGGGAGCAGGTGCTGGACAGAGAGCCCTTCATGTAGTCTGGAAAATACACAGGAAGGAAGAAACACGGCGTCAGGAAGGAGGCAGGGTGCAACGGCTGCAGAGGAGCTTCACGGTTAAACATTTAAACCTTTAAAATGCAAATTAAAGAAACAAAACTCCTGGAAGCCACAAAAAGAAATTAAAATATGGTGAAAAAGTTTGAAGTTCAGAAAGTGAAACTGATTCAGCAGGAAAACCGGCTCAGCCCGGCGCCGAGGTTTGGGCTAAAAGATGATAAGTTCATATAAAATAAAACATTACTGGGTAATTATTTGACTGGAAGACATTACCAACAATTAAACCCACAATTATAGAATCTTAAAAACAACAAATCAGAAAAGTACAATTAACCGTTTTGTTTACAAATGGGGTCCAAACGACCCCACACACGGAAAACTTGTATCGTTTGCCAGAGTCCTCACACGCACAAAGGTTCAAATAAATCTAAATTATTTGCACTTAAATCTAAATCAAGTCAACAGTTAATGGATCTAAAAACACGATGTGATGCTGGTCACATGTAGAGCCGGCCCAAGGCATAAACGAACTTAGAGAATATCAGTGCAGCTAAATTTGATTTAATGGTTTCAGCAGAGAGAAATTAAAAGATTTCAAATTATTTAAACTTGAAGATTTTAAGGAGCTGGCAAGTTTACTTTGTAAAAGTTCAAAGAAAAATCTTTATGGCTAAATTGTTTTGTTACCACAGCAAAAATCTGCTGCTCTGAGTTTAATCTTTGAGTTTTAGCTGTTCATTAAAGCATCTATTAAACGACATTAGATTTGACCCCTGGTCAGTTAAACTAGGCCCGTCTCACCACAGTGAAAAGCTGTCAGTGGTGCTGATGGGGCCCCTGAATCAAGGCCTCATTCAACATTGGACCAGCCCTGCATAATGAGCTAGACCTGCTGCACAGCGCGTCTCTGCAGCTGGATGTAGGGGACAAACAGGAGATTTAATTTATGAGGTTTAGCAGATCTTTCATTTGGTGTCTGTTGAGTTTTAATAAACACCACAGAAACTGGTTTGGTTGATCGAGCTTCATGGGACGAGTTGTTCTGATCTACCCGACTCTAACCAGAACCAAAGCATTTGATATGCATCGTGTCGCCGCAAAAAATAGGCTAAAATAAAAACAAAGCAGCTGCTGTGCAAGTCACAAGGCGAACCGGGACCCAAACTTTATCACCGCAGACAGTCAGCATGTTGAGACGTAAACACACGTCTCAACATTTTGTTCACAAAGAAATATTCTCCTCAACGCAAACCTCTGAATGTGACGCTGAGCTCAATGTGAACATCTGCGGTTCACACTGAGCTGCACCAGCAGAGCAAAAACGGTGGATTCAAGATCAACTCTACAAACAAACATGGATCCTCGTTGTCACGGGAATGAAAGGCCACATAAAAAAACATGGATTCAGTTTTTATTTCTCATAATTTCAGAAAAAAAAAAACATTTAGTCTCACAAATTAGAGTATTGTGAAAAAGAATCCATAAAAAGTTGAGTGGAAGGAAAACATGCAGCAGCAACGGGGATAACAAGAGCTTGGAGAGGACCAGAACCTCAGCTGGAGGTCCAGGTAGTGGTTCTGGTTCTGGTCCAGCAGAACATTCAGAGTTCCCCATGCTTCCTTATGCTGGAGAGTTTTATGGAGATGCTAATTTCATATTTTGTCAGGGCTTGGTACCGACCCACTGCTAACGGTACCAGAACCACGTCCAGTGACCCAGGTGGTTCTGTGCCTGACAGATCAGCAATCGGGCTGAACCAGAATCTGTAGAGACCTCAAGTCCAGTACTGAGAGCAAAAAGACAAACTTTTCTGTTTAAAATATCCTGATATTTACACCACACTTCTTCCTTCCACTCAACTTTCCAAGAATTCACTAATTATTTTCTCAACATTTACATTTAATTTTGTGTTTCATTCTCTGTTGGGCCAAATTAATCAAAACTAGTTAAACTTTCTGAAATTAAGTACAAATTTTTTTTTTAATTTAAAACATTTTTTCTTCAGAATTTCTAATATTTTGAGCTATACTTGTTGGTTACCATGGTAACCTATAATCAGGAGACGATCAGAACAACTTCTGCAATTTTTCTATAAAGAAAAGCCGTTAAGATTCTGCAGGCTGGAAGAGGAAGTGAAGGAAATCCTAAAACATCAGCAGGAA